TCCTCGTGTGTGTGTGTGTGTGTGTGAGTACGTGTGAGAACATGTTTGTGTTAGTTGAGGGGGCTAGTCAAGGAATCTATACTTGTTTGGAGACTATGGATTGAAGAAGGGTACCGAGATCGCAGAACCGACGGTTTTTTTGGGTATTCCGAAAGATTCGAAACCGCTTGCGGACGATTCGGCGACAAGAACTGCCCATCGAGGGCAGAAGAGTCGAGCTGCGGGTTGCGAGGAGTCTGAACGTAGGCATTTTCGTCCATCCGCGGAAGGGACTCGAGCCAGCAAAGTCAACTTGCGACCTAAACCCCCTGCAGACGGGACTCGAACCTTGACTGGGGCGCACGAGTTCCATCAAGTCCGCCACCACACTCAGGGGGACTCGAAGCGAGATTTCAGTCAATGCAAGCCCTCTAATGTCGGGAGAGAGAGAGAGAGAGAGATCTATTTTTCGGTAGACTCATTGAACTACTGACTTGTGTGGTCAGTAGTAGAGGAGAGTAGAGAAAGAGTGAAGAGAGTGGGATGTTATGAAGTTGTCGCCGTCTGCTAACACTTGAATCTCGCTGAAGGTAGTCTGGAGAGTGGCGCTGAGTGGGCGGCGGGAGCGTAGATGAGGCAGCAGTGGTTGTGCAAATCAGGAATTTCCGCGAGTTCTTGGTGGAACAAAGACTGGCCTTGATGACGAGTGGAGAGCACGAGACGCCCGTGTCTCGACACTGTCTTAAAAAGTCTGGAAGATGGCACGAGTCCAGGCAAGATGGGTAAATTCGTCAAATGGTGGAGTATGATTCTGGAAAAGTATAAAGCGTCGGCAACATACAAAGCGCCAAACTGGTTGCCGGAGAGAATCGGCAACCTCAGAGCTGTCGAGGAAGTTTGCAAAGTCGACGATGCCGATTGCGTTTAGAGTTTGGTGTAGCAAAGAGGACACGGACTGTCTGTAAAGTATGAAAGGCTTGCATTCTGCAACTTCAACGTTGGATACCCCGAAAAGAAGAGACAAAAGTGTCCTATTCATAAAACGGTTGACAGTAGAAAGACCAAGAGATGGAAAAAAGCCTAAACTCAGCGGGTCAAAGAGGAGGCAGAAAAGAGAAGCAAGATAACTTGGCCAAACTAAAAAAAGATTTTGACGATATAAAGACCAACATATCGTGGCCCCCGGTAGAAAGTTGTTCGAGCGACCATTTCGGACTAGATACTTTCTAATTAGTCGCCATGACAACAAGACCAAATTGCGACAACGAGGTCAACCCACTTCTATAAACAGGATTTCGGCTATTTGGTACATGAGATGTATTCAAGCAATTTCATCTGAGATGATGAAGGACTGGTAGAAGAAGAATTTTCCCACAATCATATGAGTTAAGTTGACGCTACCATTCAATTTCACATATTTTTGCGATCCCAAAAGTTGTTCTCATCCAAGGCTATGTGAAATGCAATAGAAACGTCAACTCTACTGATATGATTGTGGTCAAATTCTACTACCAGTTCTTCATCAGCTTAAACAAAATTGGGTGAATACATTTCATACTACTGATTTACTATTAGTCTCGAAATTCCAATTACATACGAAAAATACTTGACATAGTCGTGCCTACTTTTCCTTGTCGACTTCTTATTTGATTAATTGAGGCATTCACGTGATCTCTGTGCCAAAAGGTGTTGAGCCATGGCTACGAATAGGAAGAGCATCGAGAGGAGTCGATGTCTTGGAAGAAAGAGTCGGTACCATCGGCAAGGTTGAGAGTTTCGGGAGATTTGGAAATGTGCTTGGCCTCGACAGTCTTGTGAATATCGAGAAGGTGAGGATGCTTGCTTGCGTTGAAATGCGGTTGGCATTCAAGCAGCTCCGACGGCCGCAAAGCTGCAGGTTTCTTGGACGGCGGAAGCCTCGGAAGCATCGCTTGTTTGGCGTCAAACGCGACAAGACTGTCGCGATCGTCGATAGCGTGAAAATGTGCGTCAATTAAGAGAACGTCGGAGTCATTGGCAACTTCAAAGGCCTCGAGAGTTCCACGAAGGCGTTGAGCATTTCGAAAACGTGTAGAGCGTCGAGAGCATCGGCTTGTGGGCGTCGACATTGTCCAAAGCATGGACAGGGTCGGCAGCTTTGAGAGTGTCATTGGCGCGTAAAGAGTTGTCACCGAAACCGTTAGGATCAATTGAGACGTAGAGACTTTCGAGAGATTGTGCAGTTGCGGCAGTGTCGAAAACGTCGGAAGATTAGCGTCGAAAACGTCAAGATTCGTCGCTAGCGTCAATATTGTCGAGCATAAAAAAAGTATCGGCAGCGTCAATAGCATCAAGATTGTTAGTCTTACTTCCATTTCGAGTGAAAGTGTTTGATGAAGAGATTCCAAGGTCGATTCCACGAACAGATGACAACGGATTCATCTTGACTGATTCAAGCTGACGCTGTATTTTGGAGTAATATTCTTCGATTTCGGTGAAAAGGTGATAGGTTTTCGTGGGTCAAATGACGACCATCATCAGTGCAAGGTACCATCGTGACAACCACATTCAAGAATACAAGAAAGTGTCGGCAGCATAAATAGAATCAAGATTGTTGTGCTTACTTTCATCTCGATTGAAAGTGTTTGATGAAGAGATGCAAATCTTGATTTCAAGAGAAGAAGACGACGGATTCGCTTGACCGATTCATGCTGACGCTGTCTTTTTGGGTAATTTCCTTCGATTTGGTGAAAATGTGATGAGTTTCCGTGGGTTAAATGACAAACATCATCATAGCATGGTACCATCGTGACAACCACATTCAAGAATACAAGAAAGTGTCGGCTGCATCAATAGCCTCAAGATTCTTGTG